TGAAATTGGCCAAATTGCCAATTTCTGACCATTTTATTGGGTAGTTGAAATAAGTGAATGGGCGGTTTCTAGTACTCGGTTGACAGACTAGAAGTAAATAAGTTTATTCAGGTATACACAAATACAGTTACATAGATTATCATACATAGCAGGGTATGTATAGAGAACCTAGGATAACCCAGAAAAGTCAGTGACTTATTTCCAGTACCTGGTTTGGGCTTGCCATATATGATTTTTGGTAAATATTTTTTTTTCTCGGTTGTTTGTTTTGCTATCTCATTGAAACTTGGCCAATGTATGATGGAAAGATGCTTCTTAACGTACAACAAAAATAAAAAAGACAGACGATAAATAAAGGAGTTCACTTCTCGGCCATTAGCCACCTCTTTGCAGGATATTTTCGTATGGTTTTTATGGTTGTATTCTCATTTTTTTGGACTCGTTTGATAGAATGGAAGATATGTTACAGAAATAGACATGATTTTGATTGCTTTCATGATGGAAAAGTACCTTGAAATTGAGCTCAAAGTAGCGGAAATGTTCGATTTTTGCTGATGTTCAATGAACTTTGTGCAAGTCAAGTTGGTTAATTTTTTTTTTTTTTTATTAACACACTGGCCGATTCCCACCAAGGCAGGGTGGCCTGAAAAAAGAAACTTTCACCATCATTCACTCCATCACTGTCTTGCCAGAAGGGTGCTTTACACTACAGTTTCTAAACTGCAACATTAACACCCCTCCTTCAGAGTGCAGGCACTGTACTTCCCATCTCCAGGACTCAAGTCTGGCCTGCCGGTTTCCCTGAATCCTTTCATAAATGTTACTTTGCTCACACTCCAACAGCACGTCAAGTATTAAAAACCATTTGTCTCCATTCACTCCTATCAAACACACTCTCGCATGCCTGCTGGAAGTCCAAGCCCCTTGCACACAAAACCTCCTTTACCCCCTCCATCCAACCTTTCCTAGGCTGACCCCTACCCCGCCTTCCTTCCACTACAGACTGATACTCTTGAAGTCATTCTGTTTCGGTTCATTCTCTCTACATGTCCGAACCACCTCGACCCTTCCTATTCTAACCTAACCACTCTGTAATCCGGCAAACTCGGTAATCAGGCACACTACAGGTCCCAATGATGCCGGATTTGTGATGAAGGACCTATACTATTCTGTCAAGCCTCCTGACAGCAGGAACGGATTAATTGGATTTCCATTATTTCTTATGGGGAAAATTAATTCGGCTAATGATAAAATTGGTTAAGGACAAGCTCTCTGGAACAGATTAAATTCGTTACCCAAGGGTCCACTGTATACATTATTTAGGTATGCATACTGGTCAGAGAGCCCGTCATAAGAACGAGTCGTTGGTAAGTGAGTATGCTGCTAAGCGAGGAGAGGCTGTGATCATAATATTGTTATTAGTTGTGTGCTACATCAAGATTATTATCCATAAGATAAAATATCTTATTATTTATAGGATAAAATAATGAATAATTAAATATTAACCTGTCTAGACTTAAGTAGGTTTAAGTATTAGGATTAGTTTACCCGATATGCCCCAGCATGATAGTAGCTTTCTTTGTACTTAACAAATCAAAATTGTAGTTGTATATTGTAACATGCAATAAAAATAAAATCTCTAGATAGTCATTTTCTGTATCTTCACCAAGTGGTCTCAAACATTAACCTTGGCCACAATTTATGAAATTCATTTTTCAGTATGGATGTGTCTACAGACTTCCAAGCATTGGCAACACAGTAAACCACATTTCTTACATTAAATTACTTACTCACATACTGGCCTGCTAGATATAACTGCATTCAGTTGGTGCCTCATAATATGTGTGCAATACTTAGACTTAAAAGAATGTAGTATGCCATTGTCCTGGGGTTGAATTAATGATGTGCAATTAGGTAGGAGGTAGATACCGAAAATGTTGTTCTTTACCAGGAGTTCTGCTTTTAGATGTGTGTGGAACAGTTGTCTAAAATAAGAATTATCTTAGTTGTGGTCCAGGCCAACAGTCATGACGAGCTCTTGCCACGGTAACAAAATAATTTTCAAACCAATCCAGTGAAATGTCAGTTATTGTCCGTCCTTTTTTGTTGGCACGGTAAATCACAGGAAACTGTGTCATACCTTTGAAAACCCTGCAACGTAAACTTTTACCGATGACCAGCAACTTGCATCTGTACATTCCTTTGGCATTAGAGCAATCTAGCAGTGACACAATCTTTTGATGCTTTATACTCTGTTGGTGATTCTGCATCCTCAGTTGTCAGTTCTTCTTGACGTACATTTCCAACACAGGACTGTCTCATCTGCGTTGTAGACCTGCTCAGAACTTAATTTTTCATTTGAAACTGATTTGGCAAACCTGTCAACAAATTTAGCAGCTACTTCCTTGTCCGTTGAACATTTTTCACCACACGCTGCACGAAACTTTAAGCCATGTCTATCTTTGAAATGGTGCAGCCAACCTTCACTATAATCACTCATAATCTAGTCCAAATTCTTTTTTAAAAATTTTGGCTTGTTCATTCACCAGATCCAGACAGTTCAACACCTTCACTTATACATAGCCTAAACTACTTCATCAGATCTTGAGCTTGTTCTGAACTTTTTCCTTTCTTCATTGTTTTCCTTTTACACATCTGTTTCTTTGCATCACTGTTAGCATTGGAACTTGAGTAATTTTTCTTTCTTTGTCATAAACTGTCGAAAAGAGAATACTGTATAATTCACAGACACCACTGTCTTGTTTTTTCAGAAGTTCAACCTTACCTTTTATGGCCAATGTACAGTGTTTGTGCTTTACACAATGAGAAGCGTTTCCTTTAGTCATTGGAACCATGACTAAGGTTAAAAGTAAGCAGGTTATGAAAATAGAGAAAAAACAAATTGGAATGGCTTGCCTGTTGCAGGTGATACCAACAGTGTTTATGCAGCAAGTAGTGGCAGGTTGGTGTGGCGACCTGAGAAATTTGAAATTATGCTAACTGAAATTAGTGCTGGATTAGTGATGGAACCAGATTAATGATTGCCAGATCAGTGATGGCCGACCTATATAATTATTGGCTCATTTGGTATCGTCCCATCCCAAATCAACAATTCAGCTTTCTTCTAAATTTGCTAAATATTATTCTCTTTCAAGCCGTACTAGTACGGCTTGCATGCCAGGGTTGGTGCTGTACTAGTACTCATAAATTCTAGCGCCTTCAAATCTAGCGAGAGAAAGCTGGTAAGCCTACATATGAAAGAATGGATGTATGTGGTCAGTGTGTGCAGTATAAAAAAATCCTGCAGCACACAGTGCATAATGAGGAAAAGTAAACTCCGACCGTGTTTTTGGTTAAAACAGCGACTTTGCACTGTACAGTGGACCCCCGCCTTACGAACGCATTGCGTTACGTTAAATCCGCCATATGAAGCATTTGAACGCAAAAATTTTGCCTCGCCTCGCAATAAAAAACTTGCCTTATGTGATTTGTTTGGGATGTGTCCAATGTGTGGCCTCAGCGCCAGTGTTTACAAGCCAGCCAGTGCGGTCGCATCTATGCATACATTTGGTAGATTTCACATTATCCCAGTGTTTTTAGTGCTTGTAACTGCAAAATAAGTCACCATGGACCCCAAGAAAGCTTCTAGTGCCATCCCTGTGGTAACAAGGGCAAGAATTAGTATGGAATTGAAAAAAAGAGATTAAGGAAATGTGTGCAAAGTGGGTTGAACTACAAACCTTTATGGATGAAAATCGCCCTGACACAGCTACTGCAAGCCGTGTTGGCAACCTGTACAATGACAGTGTTATGGCCCATTTTAGGAAAGTCTTAAAGGAACAGGAGGTACAGAGCTTTATGGGCAGATTTGTTGTGCGACAGAGGTCCAGTGACTCTCAAGCTGGTCCTAGTGGTATTAAAAGGGGAAGTAACCCTGAAGAAGGACTTGCTACCTCAAATCCTAATGGAAGGGGATTCCCCTTCTAAACAATAACTTCCACTCTCCCCCCTCCTCCCATCCTATCAATCATCACCAGATCTTCAATAAAGGTAAGTGTCATGAATTCTATTCTTAGTAGAGTAGTAATTGTGCATGTCTTCTTCAGTTTGTGTGTATTAAAATTAACATTTCATGTGGTAAAAATTTTTTTTTTTTTTCATACTTTAGGGTGTCGGGAACGAATGAATTTGATTTCCATTATTTCTTATGGGGGAAAATTAATTTGGCTAACGATAATTTCGGCTTACGATGAGCTCTCAGGAACGGATTAATATCGTAAGGCGGGGGTCCACTGTACAGTACACTACTGTATAAGCATTTAAAAATATACCAGAAATGTTATAAATGGTGGAAAGGTGATATTAAAACATTATCACAGATGGTTGACACAAACTTGTTACCATTATAGTATGCTCCTCATTTAGTGATGAATTCATTTAACGACACGGTCTTAGGAACAGAACTCCATCGTTAAGTGAGGAGAGGCTTTACATACTATATACTGTATACATGTACAGTATTTAATGTTGTTAGGTAAGACATATATGCAACAGTTAGGTATCTTTATTATGAAACGTTTCGCCTACACAGTAGGCTTCTCCAGTCGAGTACAGAAAACTTTAAGGGTGATGGACTGATTACATCGTCTTCAAGTATCTTCTGCTTCTATCAACTTTTCTGTACTCGACTGAAGAAGCCTACTGTGTAGGCGAAACGTTTCATAATAAAGATACCTAACTGTTGCATATGTCTTACCTAACAACCTGTCGGTATTTTATACCATTTTAATGTTCACAGTATTTAATTTTTATCTACCAAGGTACTACTACTGTCTCATAAGAGCATGAACTGGAGACCTGTTAAGTACAGTATTTTGTTTGCCAGCAGGATTGCCTGTCTTGTGCTTTTTATTTCATGAACATTTGAGTTGGCAAATAAAACTTGCAAACCAACTGAATTTGGTGCTAATTATTTTTGGTTAGTCTAATTTTTGTGATTTTTGACCTTGCAGGTTTTGGCTGCCCAAGATTCATACCCCAAACAGATTTGCCAGTTTGATGAGCCATCTCTGTCCATCCCATTTATTCCACTGAGTGGGGAGTATGCACAGTTTGTGGGGCGCACATCGGATGGACTAATTGCACTCTCAAACTATCGCATCATTTTGCAACAGCGTGATGTAACCTACCACGTTCCTTTAGGAGTTATTGAGACAATTGAATGCCGAGAAATCTTTTTCCTTTATCTTCTGTGTAAAGATACTAAGTCATACAAGTAAGTTTACAGTTTTGATCTTTTTTAATGAACAATATAGTTTTTAAATTTGAAGGTAAATGCTAAAAAGTTTCAGAAATTAAATTATCTTGTACTGTAGTGCTAAATGTATAACATTAGTTATACATTTAGTTATACATATAGTTATACAGTTATACATTTATATAAATGTGTAACATTAGTTATACATTTGTTTACTGTTTCTAAACTCATTAACTGAGTCACTTGTTTGGAAAGGCAGGTAAAGTTTTTAATGAGTTATCTTCTAAGAGTTATTGTCATCAGGCAACAACTTAGCTGATTTCTTCAAAATGTGGTGTTATAAAGGCATCAGTCTGTCAGATGTTGTCTGTCATTCACTGTCAGTTAATTTATGAATGTCTTGGTCTCTTGTAGCCCTAACATTATCTAGTAATTAAATAATGTTGATATGCATTTTATGCACATGTAATGCAGGGCATTGTGTAGTTGCTGTACGTGCCGTGCATTGTACATGTAGTAATTGCTGTTTTATATTTTTTGATGAATAATGTTGCCAGTAAGTTTAGGGAGAAACAATTACTTGATATTGAATCACTCACTAATTTGTTACCATTATAAAAGTTGCTTGGTATAGTTATTCTTGCTAAAGTATTTGTAAGGCCATTTCAAAGTATGTTGCCATTATACAGCAAAAAAGCTGAATCACTCGCTCAATTTATAAATCTTTGTCATAATGTGAGTGGTAACGTTTGAGTGGCTGGGTTTATTATGCTTTTATTAGTGTAAAAATCTTATTTTCTTTAATAAATTTTTTTTACTTTAGGTGTACCTTTGGAACTAACGAACAGTGTGCTGAATGGCAGCGGCGATTGACAAAAGCTCTACTCCTTCCTCAACGCTTGGAGAATGTTTTTGGTTTTGCATTCTACATGTGGAGTATGGAGGAGGCTCGGGATCTGCACAATGCACTCTTGGAGCCAGATGGTGTGCAGTCGTATGCTGTGCGAGCAGAGAAAATGTTTGATGAAGAGGTAGGCTAGTGTAATATGCACTGTTTTCATGTTATTGGTTAGTTTCATTTATTGGTTAGTTTCATTTCAGGTTGGCAAAGGAAAAAAAAAAATTTTGGTTTGATAAATATTATTGCCAAATAAGAATGAAGGTAGTTATACTAAGGAGCTTATCACAGAAGTGAATGCCATGTTTGGAGCATTGTTCGGAACACGGGCACGGGATGTTTGAGACATTGAATAATGATACAGTACTACACGATGTATAGGTATGATGCCGTTAATATGTCACATAGAGGAGGAGGACTCTGTAAAAGATAGTTTTTGTTGCACATAATTGCTGAATTCATCAATTGATATAGTAAAAGTTGTTAGTGTGGAGAACTGGAGTCTGGTGACTTTTTTTAATACTGTCATCTTCCATTGCACCAGGGTGACTCCAAAAAAGGAGAATGAAGAAATCTGGTAATTATCCTCTTTTATAAACCACTGTTTATATACGAGGATGAGAAGAAGAGCATGAAGTAGAGTAAACACCAGGGGCATTTATAGCAGGAGGAGAGGTATGAACTGCAAAGGGTGTTAGTTTGGTGAAAAGTAAGTTTTGATATCTAAGGAAGTTTGATGTCCAGCACCGTTGCAGTAAACTAGTTTGTACCTCTCCTCCTGCTTGATGCCTTTGGTGTCTACTCTTTCATGCTCCTCTTGTCCTCTCCAGTTTGGAGAGACTGGCTGCTCTCTGACACTCAAAGAACACAAAAGTGTTAAACTTGCTGACATCAATAATACTCTTTTATGTCATGTTAGAGATTAGTCATCCTATTAATCCTTTGAGGGTTTTGGACATACCAGTACGGCTTACGCGCAGGGTTTTTTGACGTACTAGTACGCATAAATTCTAGCGCCGTCAAATCTCGCAGGAAAAGGCTGGTAGGCCTAGATGCGAGAGAATGGGTCTGTGTGGTCGGTGTGCACTATAGAAAAAAAATTTGGGACCCAGTGGTGCATTGTGGGAACGCCATCTTAGTAAACAATGTCCACCATGCCTCGTGGTAAGAAGCTCCTCACTCCTCGGCGAACTGGGACACTTCTGTTCCCCAGTGACAGTTCTAATACAGATGGAAGTGCCAGTGAAGATGAGTTTCAAGGTTTTGGTGAGGTTTTGACCGAAACTGATGATCATAATATCGGTAATAGTGAGGAAAACCCAGACAGCCCTCAGCCTTCCACCTCTGGTGCTGGGCCGTCTTGTTCACGTTCAGTTGTACCAGAATCAAAGAGGAAACTTCTATTTTCCCAAATCCCAGACTCAGATGAGAGCATGTGTAATGATAGTGATAGTGAATATGAACTACAAGCTCTTCAAACTAGTTCCAGTAGTGATAGTGAAGTGCAATACAGTGGACCCTCGACCAGCGATATTAATCCGTTCCTGAGAGCTCATCGTTAATCGAAATTATCGTTAGTAGAGTTAATTTTCCCCATAAGAAATAATGGAAATCAAATTAATCCGTGCAAGACACCCAAAAGTATTGAAAAAAAAAACTTTTACCACATGAAATATTAATTTTAATACACACAAACTGAAGAAGACATGTACAATTACATGACACTTACCTTTATTGAAGATCTGGTGATGATTGAAGGGCTCGGAGGAGGGGAGAGTGTGGATGGTGTTAGTGTTTAGAAGGGGAATCCCCTTCCATTAGGACTTGAGGTGGCAAGTCCTTTTTCAGGGTTACTTCCCTTCTTCTTTTAATGCCACTAGGACCAGCTTGAGTCACTGGACCTCTGTTGCACAACATATCTGTCCATAGAGGCCTGTACCTCCCGTTCCTTTGACATTCCTAAAGTGTTTCACAACATTGTCAGTGTCACAATTAAACACTTGTTCAGGTTTCAATTCTAAACTGTCTATGTACTCCTTGAATTCCTGCACATATTTTTCAGCTGCTTTTTGGTCCAAACTGGCAGCCTCACCATGCCTTATCACACTATGTATGCCACTACGATTCTTAAATCTCAAACCAACCTTTGCTGGCCTTAAATTCACTCACATCACCACTAGTTGCTGGCATTTTTCTAATTAAATCCTCATGCAACTTCCTAGCCTTTTCACATATGATCGCTTGAGAGATGCTATCTCCTGCTATCTGTTTTTCGTTTATCCACACCAGTAACAGTCTCTCAACATCTTCTATCACTTGCAATCTCAGTTTCGAAAACATAGTTGCACCTTTGGCAAGAACAGCTTCATTGATTGCCGTTTTCTTGGCCACAATAGTAGCGATGGTTGATTGGGGTTTTGTGTACAACCTGGCAGCTCGGAGACACGCACTCCACTTTCATACTTAGCAATGATCTCTTTCTTCATATCCATAGTAATTCTCACCCTTTTTGCTGTAGGATTGGCACTAGAAGCTTTCTTGGGGCCCATGGTGACTTATTTTGCAGGTGCAATCACTTGGTATCTGCAGACATGGGAAATCTGGAAAAACAGATGGGACGTGCAACTATGACCACCCTAGAACATGCCGTGCCCATATGACAACAGGAAAATGCAAACTCCTTTCCTGTAAGCTTTTTTCACCCTGAAATGTGTACCTCTTCAGTACAGGAAAGACTGTGCTATAACTTAAATTGCCAGGCACACCATCTAAAGGGGACAAAAAGATACAAAACATCCAGGCCATGGGAAAACCTGGGTAGCCACAGCCACTCAAGAGGGAGAAGTTTTTTAGTGCCAGGAAGGAAAAAAAACTGACAGGAAATGGCAGAAATTGTACACCAAATCCAGTCATTCCTGGAGTGGAACCACAGTTGATGGCCTCCACTCCAAACCAACAGATACAGATACTAATGCCGGAAAAAAAATCCCCCCCCCCCAATACCAACAATACCACCAGTCCGATGACATTCTTCTTTGCAAATATACAGGGTCTAAAGCCAGCAACAAACAACAAAATACCTTTCATCCGTGGACTGCTTGCAGAGGCAAAGGCAATGTTCGCGGCTTTCACTGAGACCCACATAAAGGATCACTTAGACAACGAAATATGGATCCCAGGTTACAACCTATACAGATGTGACAGAGTGAACAGGCAAAAGGGGGGGATTGGCCTGTACATTGCAGAGTCACTTGTTTGCACAGAACTGCTTAATGCCTCAAATGATGTAGTGGAAGTTTTAGCAGTAAAGGTCGAGAACCAAAACCTAGTCATTGTGATAGTCTACAAGCCTCCGGATGCAACATCCCAGCAATTCCAGGAACAGCTGTTAAAAATTGACCACTGTCTGGAAAATCTTCCAGCTCCTGCGCCCAACATCTAGCTCCTGGGGGATTTCAACTTAACGCACCTAAAATGGAGGAATATAGCAAATAATATTGTTGCAGTAATAACACCAGGAGGCAGCTCTGATGAAAACTCACACTCACACGAGCTTTTAAATCTCTGCACAAAATTCAATTTAAACCAGCAAATAATAGAGCCTACTAGAATGGAGAATACACTAGACCTCATCTTCACTAACAATGATGATCTGATAAGAAATGTCACCATATCAAAAACAATATACTCAGATCACAACATAATTGAGGTTCAGACATGTATGCGTGGAGCCCCAGACCGACAAAATGATTAGTCACGAGGGAGCATTCACCAAATTCAACTTCAATAACAAAAACGTAAAGTGGAACCAAGTAAGCCAAGTCCTAACCGATATAAGCTGGGAAGATATACTAAGCAACACAGACCCCAACTTATGCCTAGAACAGATTAACTTGGTGGCACTCGATGTATGCACAAGACTTATTCCTCTAAGAAAAAGGAGGAGTAGATGTAAAATAGAAAGAGACAGGCGCTCTCTTTACAGGCGACGGAAAAGAATAACAGAGTGGCTAAAAGAGGTCAATCTATCTGAAATGCGTAGGGAGACACTGGTCAGAGAAATAGCAAACATCGAACTTAAGCTAAAGGAATCTTATAGGAGTCAGGAATCGCGGGAAGAACTAAAAGCCATAAATGAAATCGAAAGAAACCCAAAGTATTTCTTCTCCTATGCCAAATCAAAGTCGAGAACAACATCCTACACAGATGACAGCAAGGAAATGAGTGAGCTACTCAAGTCCCAATATGACTCAGTTTTTAGCAAGCCACTAACCAGACTGAGTGTCGAAGATCAAAATGAATTTATGAGAGAGCCACAGAATTTGGTTAACACAAGCCTATCTGATGTTATCCTGACGCCAAGTGACTTCGAACAAGCGATAAATGACATGCCCATGCACTCTGCCCCAGGGCTAGACTCGTGGAACTCCGTGTTCATCAAGAACTGCAAGAAGCCCCTATCACGAGCCTTTACCATCCTATGGAGAGGGAGCATGGACAGGGGGTCGTCCCACAGTTACTAAAAACAACAGACATAGCCCCACTCCACAAAGGGGGCAGTAAAGCAACAGCAAAGAACTACAGACCGATAGCACTAACATCCCATATCATAAAAATCTTTGAAAGAGTCCTAAGAAGCAAGATCACCACCCATCTAGAAACCCATCAGTTACACAACCCAGGGCAACATGGGTTTAGAACAGGTCGCTCCTGTCTGTCTCAACTATTGGATCACTACGACAAGGTCCTAGATGCACTAGAAGACAAAAAGAATGCAGATGTAATATATACAGACTTTGCAAAAGCCTTCGACAGGTGTGACCATGGCGTAATAGCGCACAAAATGCGTGCTAAAGGAATAACAGGAAAAGTCGGTCGATTGATCTACAATTTCCTCACTAACAGAACACAGAGAGTAGTCGTCAACAGAGTAAAGTCCGAGGCAGCTACGGTGAAAAGCTCTGTTCCACAAGGCACAGTACTCGCTCCCATCTTGTTTCTCATCCTCATATCCGACATAGACAAGGATGTCAGCCACAGCACCGTGTCCTTTGCAGATGACACCCGAATCTGCATGACAGTGTCTTCCATTGCAGACACTGCAAGGCTCCAGGCAGACATCAACCAAATCTTTCAGTGGGCTGCAGAAAACAATATGAAGTTCAACGATGAGAAATTTCAATTACTCAGATATGGTGAACACGAGGAAATTAAATCTTCATCAGAGTACAAAACAAATTCTGGCCACAAAATAGAGCGAAACACCAACGTCAAAGACCTGGGAGTGATCATGTCAGAGGATCTCGCCTTCAAGGACCATAACATTGTATCGATCGCATCTGCTAGAAAAATGACAGGATGGATAATGAGAACCTTCAAAACGAGGGATGCCAAGCCCATGATGACACTCTTCAGGTCACTTGTTCTATCTAGGCTGGAATATTTCTGCACACTAACAGCACCTTTCAAGGCAGGTGAAATTGCTGACCTAGAAAATGTACAGAGAACCTTCACGGTGCGCATAACGGAGATAAAACGCCTTAATTACTGGGAGTTCTTGAGGCTCCTAAACCTGTATTCCCTGGAACGCAGGCAGGAGAGATGCATGATTATATACACGTGGAAAATCCTAGAGGGACTAGTACCAAACTTGCACACGAAAATCACTCACAACGAAAGCAAAAGACTCGGCAGATGATGCAACATCCCCCCAATGAAGAGCAGGGGCGTCACTAGCACGCTAAGAGACAATACAATAAGTATTGTCTCTTAGCAGTCATTTTTGTTTGTTGTGGAAATCACTTCAATCCATTCATTATTATTGATTGGTTTTCACAAAATAGGTGAATAACTTACTTCCGAGATCATAGCCGAAAGTGCGCACATACCCGAGTACTCGGGAAATACTTTTTTCCCGAAAAATACCCCCCCTCCTGTTTTTGTAAGCTGTGAGTGTGTATTAAGTTTGCTCTCATGCTAGATCCGTTTTCTCTCATAAAAGTGACAAAAGGAGGGATAAAAAGTCTTATGATCAGTTTAGGAGAAACACTGTGCACAACACAGTCGTTTTTTTTCTGAGAACATTTGCATACAAAACATTGTGTTCGAATTCACTTCGAATGTAAGAAAATGCTTGAACAGAAAAATACAATGGAAGTAAATGGTATGAAATACTGACACAATGGAAAAATAAACACAAGCAGTATAGTGTGATCCTTTATTGACAACGTATTTATAGGAAGGAGGCAGGTGGAGAATGCTGTGTAGGTTGAATCTGAACCTGCATGTGACAGTCTTCCGAGTATGGTGGTAGAAGTTAGGACCTTGGGTAGCTTTAAGAAGAGATTGGACAAGTACTTATATGAGTAGACCTTCTGCAGTGTTCCTCCATTCTTATGGAGGAACACTGCAGAAGGCATACTCATATACAGATTTGTCCAATCTCTTCTTAACTCTTTTTAGGGTCGAGAGGCCCTCTCCTAAATTTGTTCTCAGGGTCGAAAATTTTTCAGAAAAAAAAAAAAAAATTTCTTATGAAAAGATAGAATCTTTTCCTGATCATGACACCAGAAGTATGAAATATGATGGAAAACTTAGGGAATTATGCTCTCGCAAAGTTAGTGGTCTCAACGACTTTTACGCATCGACAATTTCGCCCACTTTGAGCCCTATTTTTGGCCAATTCCAGTGTACTAGTCAACAAAAATCATAACTATTTCGCTAGAACTCCATTTTTTCTATCGAGTGAGTACAAGAACCCACCCATTTACCGATTTCAACTATCCAATAAAGTGCTCAGAAATTAGCAATTTTGCCAATTTCACACAAATTTCAAAAGATGCCAATTTCTAAACAGGGTCCAGAATAAACAAGACAGACATTCCTGGCACTACAGTAACATTTCCTCTGTTCATTAGTCACATCCCCTGCCCCTCTTACATTCTTTTGCTTTCCACTTTGAATTTTTATTCTCACAAAAAAATAGATTTACTGTTATGCAGACTACTGCATTAGTGTAGAAATGGTATAAATAATATTGGTGCACTTGTGAAAGAATATTAGACTCGCCAGTTGACGTGTATTGGACGTGTGGCATGATTTGTGTACTTTTGAACTTTGGCAAAAAATCGAACATTTCTGTTACTTTGAGCTCAATTTCAAGGTACTTTTCATTGTGAAACCAATGAAAAATCGTCTCAATTTCTGTAATATGTCTTCCATTCTATAAAATAAGATCAAGAAAACTAGAATACAACCATAAAAACCATACGAAAATACAGTGCAAAGTCGCTGTTTTAAACCAAAAACACGCTCAGTTTTTTTTTTTCTCATTATGCACTGTGTGCTACAGGATTTTTTTTTATACTGCACACACTGACCACATAGACCCATTCTTTCATATGTATGCCTACCAGTTTTCTCTTGCTAGATTTGAAGGCGCTAGAATTTATGCGTACTAGTACTTCAATAATCCTGGTGCGTAAGCCGTACTAGTACGTTGGAAACCCTGGAAGGGTTAAAGGAGGGGTTTGGGATATTGGCAGTTAGGAGGTTAACTTTAAACTGTTGTACCTGAGCACCTCTGCAAAGACGGTGATTATGTACAACTGAGGTGAAAGTATTGAATGATGAAAGTATTTTCTTTATTGGGATTTCCTTCATTTTTGGGTCACCCTGCCTCGATGGGAGACGACCGACGTGTTAAGAAAAAAAAATGCAGTGTAACACAGAACACAGAGTAGTAGTCAACAGAGTAAAGTCTGAGGCAGCTACGTTGAAAAGCTCTGTTCCACAAGGCACAGTACTCGCTCCCATCTTGTTTCTCATCCTCATATCTGACATAGACAAGGATGTCAGCCACAGCACCGTGACTTCCTTTGCAGATGACACCCGAATCTGCATGACAGTGTCTTCCATTGCAGACACTGCAAGGCTCCAGGCGGACATCAACCAAATCTTTCAATGGGCTGCAGAAAACAATATGAAGTTCAACGATGAGAAATTTCAATTACTCCGATATGGTAGACACGAGGAAATCAAAACTTCATCAGAGTACAAAACAAATTCCGGCCACAAAATAGAGCAAAAAACCAACGTCAAAGACCTGGGTGTGATCATGTCGGAGGATCTCACCTTCAAGGACCATAACATTGTATCAATCACATCTGCTAGAAAAATGACAGGATGGATAATGAGAACCTTCAAAACTAGGGATGCCAAGCCCATGATGACACTCTTCAGGTCGCTTGTTCTATCTAGGCTGGAATAGTGCTGCACACTAACAGCACCTTTCAAGGCAGGTGAAATTGCTGACCTAGAAAATGTACAGAGAACCTTCACGGCGAGCATAACGGAGATAAAATGCCTCAATTACTGGGAGCGCTTGAAGTTCCTGAACCTGTACTCCTTGGAACGCAGGCGGGAGAGATACATGATTATATACACCTGGAAAATCCTAGAGGGACTAGTACCGAACTTGCACATGAAAATCACTCACAATGAAAGCAAAAGACTCTGCAGATGATGCAACATCCCCCCAATGAAAAGCAGGGGTGTCACTAGCACGTTAAGAGAGAACACAGTAAGTGTCAAGGGCCCGAGACTGTTCAACTGCCTCCCAGCATACATAAGGGGGATTACCAATAGACCCCTGGCTTTCTTCAAGCAGGCACTGGACAAGCATCTAAAGTCGGTACCTGACCAGCCGGGCTGTGGCTCGTACGTTGGATTGCCTGCAGCCAACAGTAACAGCCTGGTGGATCAGGCTCTGATCCACCAGGAGGCCTGGTCACAGACCATGCCACGGGGGCGTTGACCCCTGGAACACTCTCCAGGTAAACTCCAGGCAACAAATTAGAGAAAGCAATAACAAGCCTCATTTTATAGTTTAAAATATTTAAAGCATATGACAGAGGGATCTCTAAGTAATTATTGACAGTAAGAAACTTCAGTACTTGGCAGACTGCTACAACAGTTGTTCACAACATACTAAACACGTGGAGCAAGAGTTAGGCATTGATATCAGTACTTAAAGCCATAATCTGCCTAGTATGGTCCAGGTTGCATTGTTCCCCATTCTTACGTCGAGATGGATTGAGAGCCCTTACCTATATTTGCTTATAAGATGCAGAATAAGGAAGATGTGTTTTAAGTCTGCCTAGAGAATAAAGCACCTTGGGAAAAATGTACTTGGATTCTAATCTTTGTAAGATCTTATGAATATCCTTTAGGAAAACTAATTTTTTTTTGCTATGTGGCAGAAATAATGACTTTTAGTATTTACCTGGTATGCTGGTATTATTCTTAAGTTATCCCTGTTTGAAATGTAACAATTGGTTATAAATTTTGCAATAGTCTGATTTTTAAGGTTATGACTTGTTAACAATAGTACATCTCTACAAATTGTCTTGCTGCTAATAACTTTACTCTTCCTTTTAGGTTCGGCGTCTTGGTTTTGATTTAGGCGGAGCATGGCGCATCTCTTTGGCAAATAGTGAATACCAGCTCTGTTCCACATACCCCAGAAAGTTGGTTGTACCAGCATCCATCAATGATAACATATTGGAGTCAGTGGCTCGTTTCAGATCTGTTAGGAGGATACCTGCTGTTGTTTGGAGGTCAGTTGATATTTAATTTGAAGTTGTATGCATTTATGAGGGGATTCAGGGAAACTGGTTAACTGGACTTGAGTCCTGGAGGTGGGAAATAGTGTCTGCACTTTAATTAATTAAACGACGATGAAAGTGTTTTTTTTTTTTTTTTTTTTCTGGGCTCGCCCTGCCTCGGTTGGAAATGGGTGACATGTTAGAAAAAATTGATATAGTTTGGATAGGGGAGCAATGTGGCAGATGTTGCAAGTGTATGGAATAGGTGGTAGGTTACTGAAAGCAGTGAAGAGTTTTCTCGAGGATAATGCATCTCAGGTTAGCATGTATGAGAGAGGGGAGATTATTTCCTAGTAAAAGTAGGCCTTAAACAGTGATGTGTGATGTCACCATGGTTGTTCAATATATTTATAGATGGGGCTGTAAAAGAAGTGAATGCTCGGGTGTTGGGACGAGGTGTGGGATTAAAAGATAAAGAATGTAACACGAAGTGGGAGTTGTCACAGTTGCTTTTTGCTGATGACACTACTTTGAGGAGATTCAGAAGAGAAGTTGCAGAGATTGGTGGACGAATTTGGGATGGTATGTAAAAGATGGAAATTAAGAGTAGGAAACTGCATGCTGCAGTTTTTTCTATATTGGGCACACTTACCGCATAAGCCCATTCTCTATATCGAAGGCCCAGATTTACTGTTCACAGCTTACCTGAATGAACTGAGTTCATGGCTTAGTTCTATGGCACCGACAGTGACCTCCAAACCTGTAGTACTACAACACAGGCAATGAAAGGGTTAAAGTTCACTGGTGTTGTTCCCAAGAGTACAGTTGGGCTGGATTTCACTCTGTTGTTAAATTGATGGGGATTGGGCACAAAATTTGCATTTTCAAGCCAGTCTAAGACTTAGTCTGGTGGGTGCTGAATATTAACCCTTAAACGGTCCAAACGTATATATATGTTCACGCGCGTAGCGCCCCTAACGTATATATATGTTTTCTTTGTCATTCATTCAACATTGCCACAATAAGCCCGAGTCAACTAGACATGAGAGAATGGGTGTGTGCACTCACTGTGTTCAATATTAAAATAATTGGGGATGCCTGGGTACCATATGCTCTTTTTTCCTTTTAAAAGAAAAGATTTTTTTTTTCCTCAAAAAATTTTTGGCGCTACACGAGTGAATGTATATATACGTTTGGACCGTTTAAGGGTTAATGGCTGTTTGTGGTGATTGTACAGGTGGTGGTTGTGTGGGGGTAGTGGAGGCAGCCGTGGGTTATTGTGGTGTTGAGTGGATCATGCCTTTCAGCCTGGGCTGGCACTGGTGTTACATGCTTCATTGTGCCACCATCTATTGCTATATGCAATGGTGCCATTGCTTATAGCCAATCACCTGTCCCAATTTATGTAACTGTCACTATCATTGTGTTGCTGGTGTTGGGTTCTGGGATGTACACCATCCCTGGAATAGTAATGGTTATTCTACCAGACTGCACGCAGTACTATGTAAATTGATGCTTTTTAGGTGAATATTCATCACTATTTATTTATTTATTTAGTAATTTTAGCATACATACAGAGGTACAAAAAATACAGGCAAGAGCAGCATGCCAAAGCCACTTATATGCATAGCATTACGGGCTGGCTTAAAATTAACTTAAGATTAACTAAGCAATGATGAAATCAGTGATAAAACATTTTGAAAACAGATAACTATAAAGCACAAATGAGTATTACAAAGACAGGTCATATGGTTGCATGCATTGCTGTTCATTCAGTAGAATGGAGTATTCTGTTAGGTAGTGTATTTAAAAAAATAATAGATTGGGTCCTAGGTTTAACATTTGTGTGATATAATTGTGAGTAACATTTAGGATATACAATTTATAAGGTTCAGCTATTCAGTATTTATTTGGTTTTGAGTGAGTAAGTGATCTTTGAGAAGAGACTTGAATTTATAAACAGGTAGTGTTTCTTTTATATTAACAGGTAATGAATTCCAGATTTTAGGGCCTTTTATGTGCATTGAGTTTTTGCATAGCGTGAGATGGACACGAGGAACATCAAAGAGTGATCTGTGCCTTGTGTTATGGTCATGTGTTCTGTTGAGGTTGGCAAGGAGATGTTTGAGGGGAGGGTTAATATCAGAGTTAAGTGTTCTATGTATGTAATAGGTGCAGTAATAAGTATGGATGTTTTGTATGGTGAGTAGGTTGAGTGTTTTGAATATTGGTGGAGTGTGCTGCCTGTAGTGAGAATTTATCATTCTAACTGCAGCCTTTTGTTGGGTAATTAGTGGTCTGAGATGGTTAGTTGTTGTTGAGCCCCATGCACAAATTCCATATGTGAGATAGGGGTAAATAAGAGAGTGATAAAGGGCCAGGAGGGCTGACTGTGGAACATAGTACCGTATCTTCGATAGTATGCCTACAGTCTTGGAAATTTTCTTAGAAATTTGTTGTATATGTGTATGAAATTTGAGTCTATTATCAAGGTGGATTCCTAAGAATTTTCCCTCTGTTAGCTTTGTGATAGGTGATCTGTTTATCGTTATGTTAAGAGGTACATCTGTAGCTCTGTTACAAACTGAATGAAGTAGGTTTTGTCAATGTTTAGTGTAAGTTTGTTAGTCCTCATCCAGGTAGATATTTTCTGTAATTCGGTGTTTACAGTATTGGCTAGCTGGTAGTGGTTATTAATTACTAGGAAATGAAAGTTCACATCACTATTACTCATATCAGAGAATGATTTTTGCTTAGTGTAGTTGTGGGTCATTTGATTTTTCAGCAGTATTACGTGTCCTGAGCATCACTTTCGGTCCATATGTTTGAAACCAACTACACGTAACTTGTCACTTCCATAATCCTCATTGTTGCTGACACTGGGGAATAAAACTTGTTCAATTTGTCTGGGAGTGAAACCTCTCTCTCTCTCTCTCTCTCTCTTCTCTCTTTTTCTTTTCTTTTTTTTTTTTTTTTTTTTTTTTTTTTTTTTTTTTTTTTTACACAGGGTTTGACAAGGTTAAGGATCCCTAGCTTTATTGACAAGCTATTTACAGGTTAAAGATTCCTAACTTTATTGGCAAGCTAAGAACTGTTACCTACATAGCTCATTTGAAAGCATTTTTATTATGAGACATGCAAGTAGGGAACAGGATTAAGTTGGAGCCATCTCTGGGCCAGCATTTTCATTTGATAAACTGACTTTATCTCGTTGACATCATTATGCTGTACGAATGTGTTCCATACTAGTCATCCTGGGTATATATGATCTCAGATGGAGTGATGTTCTGGAGAAGGGTACAGCCAGAGTGAAGTCGCTGCTTTCTGCCCGTCTTGTGGCATAAAAGCTTGTTACACGCTGTCCTTGAAGTGGATCCAAGTGTGGTACTTTTACAATATTGGCCTTGTACATAACAGTAAGGCCACCCACATCCCTCCTATGTTGAAGGCTCTGCTGAAATGACAGATCTATCCAGGATGGGTCCAGGCGAGAGATGAGACATCTTGCTCTGTTCTCTATTCTGTCAAGCAGTCGCAGATGAGAGGGGGGGCAGGCAAACCAAGAAAGTGGTGGAGCATACTCAAGGTGTGAGCGTACTTGTGCCTCGTACAGAATCTTGCAACCCCTACTGTCAAGCAGATGCGAGATACGGCGAAGTGCTGTAAGCTTCCTGGCTGCCTTGTTTGCAAGATTTACAACATGGTTCTTCATTGTTAGTTTGGAGTCAAATTTCACCCCAAGGATATCAACTTCTCCAGGTGCCAACACCCTCCCATTCATCCTTACTACTGCACTAGCATTACCATCATGGTGCCTAGAGACGATCATCATTTGCGCTTTCTCAGGTGCAAATGTTACTTGCCATCTGTTTCCCCAAGCTGATATAGCTCTCAGCTGGTGATTTATGTAGCTTAGAGCAGCTGGCATTTCTTCTCTTGGATAAGCGAATGTCGGTATACAGTCGTCTGCATATGCATGTGATTCTGGGATGAGATGAAGGCCGTTGAAGTAGACATTCCATAACAATGGTCCCAGTACGCTTCCTGTGGAACACTTGCCCCAATAGGATATCTTGCTGATTCCGTTTCATTGAGAACTACACTTAGAGATCTACCATGAAGGTAATCACTGAGGAGACAGCGTAGAGTCTGCAATTCCCAGTGCTTGAAGCTTTGCGAAGAGGCCCTGGTGCCACACCCGGTCGAAAGTGCCAGCAATGTCCAGTGCTACCACACAGCTGACTTTGGATTCATCCAGTGACTGGTGCCACTTAGTGGAGAGGTTTAACAACAGATCAGCAGCAGAGTAACCTTTCCTGAAGCCATATTGACGATCACAAAGTAGTGAGTGGTAGTCAAAAAACTGTCATTTGTCTTGAGATTATTGTCTCAAGGATCTTACCAGTGATTGACAGGAGTGACACTGGTCTGTAGTTGCTGATTTCTGCTGTGCTCTTCTTTTTGTGAACAGGGACTACATTTGCCTCTTTCCATAGAGAGGGCCATTAACGCTGTACTAGGCAGTGCTGAAAGATGCGAGTTAGAGGTGCTGCTAGCTGGTCTGCACATCTTCTCAGCAATCTTGGGCTCAACTTGTCTGGGCCCACAGCCTTTTCTTGGTCAGGCGATTTAAGAAGGAAATGCACCTCCTCCTGCCTTATTGTCACCACTGACAGTTTTGACACAGTTCTTGTAGCTAGCCAAGGAGGGTCCCTTGCTGGATCAGGAACTTGCATTTTGGTAGCAAAGTGTTCAGCAAAGAGGTCTGCCTTCTCTTGACTACTAGTAGAGGTGGTCCCATCCTGTTGATTTAGAGGTGGAATGAGTTCATTAGGCAGATAACCTTGTCTGTCCTTGACCAGGGACCACCAGGTTTTGGAGCCTACCCTACCTGATGCAAGCTTTCTTTTAGTGTCCACCTCCCATTTAGCAATGGCCCACTTTTGAACGTCACCCATATGCCTACAGGCTTGCCTGTGCAAGTTCCTGTTATAGGTGGTAGGATGTCTCTTATACCTTCGCCATGCTTTGTACTTAGCAGTAGCAGCCTCTCTACAACGAAAGCCAAACCAAGGCTGATCTGTAGGCTCGTCACTTATTGCCGGTGAGGAATGTGTTCTTGTCGTAGGTTAAGGATGTGTCCAGTGAAGGCTTTCACTTGGTTGTCATCATCCCCTTGGAGAAGAGCATTCCAATCAGTGGTGGTGAGCTCAGAGCAAAGGGCTGGCCAATTACCTCTTTCCCATAGCCAGGTTGTGCGTGTGGACTTCTCACCTCGTTCTGTTGGGATCTTAAGTGTCGTAAAAACAGCCTTGTGGTCAGACGATCCAACATAGCTGAGAGTTTGACAAGTGACTGTGCCTTCTGCCAGATCACTCACTACTGGGTCAAGGGAGGAGCCAGAGATGCGAGTAGAGAAATCAACAAAGTTTCTCATGTCAAACACTGCAAGAAGGTCATCAAAGTCCCTCTGTATAAGGTGCTGGTTGAGGTCACCAACAATTATAATATGTTGACAGTTGTGTTGTAGCAGAAGGGAGTCAATATTTTCCATTAGGAAGTTGATAGGGTCTGCATGTTGCCACTGAGGTCTGTACACTGCACATGCTAGTACAGAGGTACTAGTGTTTATACAGAGCTTGAAGAACATCATTTCAAGATGTGTAGGGGTGGCAACATCAATGTGCTGGGCATGAACACTTTTAGAGAAGCGCACAGCAACACCTCCTCCTTGCCCTTGCCTGTCTCTTCTCATCCATGAGGTGTAGCCAGCAATTCTTGCAAAATTTTCTGGAGTCCTGTCATCCAAAAATGTTTCAACAACAGCTATCATGTCGGGACGTCGAGTGTTCACAAAACTGTGTGAGCTCTCCAACATTAGTAATGAAACCTCTAATGTTGGCTGACAGGATGCTGATAGACTGGCTCCTCATGATGAAGTGGTCAGCTTGAGGTGGTGGGTGTGTAGGGAATGTAAGGTGCCTGCCCTTGAGAGAAGTAGGGTACTGAGGCAGCTGCAGGGATGTAGGTCTGTAGTTCTCTCTCTCTCTTGTCTCTCTCTGTCTCTCTGTCTCTCTCTCGTCTCTCTCTCTGTCTCTCTCTGTCTCTCTCTCTGCTGTCTCTGTCTCTCTCTCTGTCTCTCTCTCTCTCTCTCTCTCTCTCTCTCTCTCTCTCTCTCTCTCTCTCTCTCTCTCTCTCTCTCTCTCTCTCTATCTCTCTCTTTCTCTCTGTCTCTCTGTCTCTCTCTCTGTCTCTGTCTCTCTGTCTCTGTCTCTCTCTCTGTCTCTCTCTCTGTCTCTCTCTGTCTCTGTCTCTGTCTCTCTCTGTCTCTCTCTCTCTTCTCTCTCTCTGTCTCTGCCCTCTCTGTCTCTCTCTCTCGTCTCTCTCTCTGTCTCCTCTCTCTGTCTTCTCTCTCTCTGTCTGTCTCTCTCTCTGTCTCTCTCTGTCTCTCTGTCTCTCTGTCTCTCTGTCTCTCTCTGTCTCTCTCTGTCTCTGTCTCTCTCTGTCTCTCTGTCTCTCTCTGGCTCGCTCTCTCGCTCTCTCTCGCTCACTCTGTCTCTCTGTGTAGTATGGTGAGCAAGGTATACTAAATATGGTGTTCCAACATTTCACTACAGGGGGGGTCTCTGATTTTTTTATTATTATATTGCACACTAACCACACAGACCTGTTCTTTCTTATGTAGGCTCACCAGTCCTCTTGCACCAATTTGTGTGTAAATCTATGTAAGGGACACTGGCACTGAAAATGTAGATCACTGAAAGGGTTAATTAGAGTGCTAAAGAAAGTGTCTATTACACAATAAGCTAAGAACTTGCTATTTATAATGTACTATTAATTTTTTTTAAGCTGTGAAACTCTTTTTATTATAAATTTTCTGAGTTTCATGCTTCATTTGCTTCTCTACACAGACTAATTTAAGAAATAATTTACTTTAAAATATTACAAGAGTTATTCTCTGAATATCTAGTATTAACATTTCTGGGAAGTGACCACTTCCCCCACACTTCTGTGGCACCAGTGCCAAACCAGTTTTCAATATTACTTTTTCTTCCAGATCACTTCCCTGAGTAGTTTTTTACATTTATTGCTGTCTTATTTCAGAAATGGCAGAAGTTTAGTAATTTCATAATGTTCACTTCCTAACACAGACATGCCAATGGTGCAGTCATTGCACGATGTAGTCAGCCTGAGGTGGGTTGGCTGGGATGGCGATCTAGTGAAGATGAAGATTTGGTGAAGGCAATTGCTGAAGCTTGTGCTTATGATAGCCCTTCTGTTACAACCTCTAATAGTGTGACTGGGACAACAGGAAGTCAGCTGGTGCTACCTCAAAGTGGAGAGGAAGCAACCACTCCTGTATCTGATATTCCTTCTCTTTGTGACTTGCCCGAGGCCAAGGCTCAAGCAGATATTAAGGTACGTACTTAGTTTAACTCAAATATAGTGCTCTAGAACAGACTGACTGATGTTGTAGTGGCCAGGCTTAGGCTTGGTTACAAGTACTTCTGGCAGTTTGGGAGAAACACAGATGATGATCAAACTAAATGTAAATTATGTGATCAGGCATATGGTCACTCTCTTGAACACTGTGTGCTTAATTGTCCACTTATTGAGGAATACAGAGACAGACAGTATAATAACCTATGTGACATGTCAAGATATCTTATTAATGAAAATAAGATACCAGATATACTAAGCAAATTTCCTAAATTTGCTTGTAACAGATAAGTGAACTATAGATATGTAGATATAAATCCATATGTATTCCTGTTAACCCTTTGGGGCCTAGTTCCTAGGCCTTTTGTGTATCCACATGCTCTCGCGCTACCGTCCACAGGATGGATATGGGGTGCACAATAAACTAGCCACTTCGGTGGCAAAATCTAAAAAATCTATCTAGTTAACTATAGGCATATTTTGCATATGGATAAATATTGGTAACTTATTTTTTTTACTGAAAATAATAAATGTTGATCATTTTTGGTTACTGATATGAAATTACTCTCACAGGATATTAGTTTGGATGATACTCATTGAAGGGGTAAAGCAGCTGTGGTAGATGAGATTGATATAGAAATTAACAAAGAATATAGTCTGGCATAGTTGGTGTGTGTTTAAAATATGTATGAAAGGAAAGTGCCTAAACATGGGCGGCAGAAAATTACATAGCTCCTCTGTATAGGAATGAAAGGGAAAGACTAAAAATTATAGGGAAGTAAATCAATTGAGTATACTGGGTAAAGTATACTGTAGAATTATTATTGTCCAATTTGTGGATTTAGGTAAGGCATTGTTCCAGTTATGGCTTTAGGTAAGGCATTGTTCCAGTTATGGCTTTAGGTAAGGCATTGTTCCAGTTATGGCTTTAGTAAGGCATTGTCCAGTATGGCTTTAGGAAAGGCATTGTTCCAGTTATGGCTTTAGGTAAGGCATTGTTCAGTTATGGCTTTAGGTAGGCATTGTTCCAGTTATGGCTTTAGGTAAGGCATTGTTCCAGTTATGGCTTTAGGTAAGGCATTGTTCCAGTTATGGCTTTAGGTAAGGCATTGTTCCAGTTATGGCTTTAGGTAAGGCTTATAATTGAGTGGATATAGGAGCAGTTTGGCAGGTGTTGCAAGTGCTGGGAATAGGTGGTAAATGATTCAAAACAGTTAATTTTCATGCAGAGTGAGTGAGTGAGGGATCAGGTTAGGATACCTAAGAAAGGATCATGGTTATTTAACAGTTATAAAAGAAAGTTATGAAGGGGTTCAGGGAAACCGGCTGGCCGGACTTGAGTCCTGGAGATGGGAAGTACAGTGCCTGCACTCTGAAGGAGGGGTGTTAATGTTGCAGTTTAAAAACTGTAGTGTAAAGCACCCTTCTGGCAAGACAGTGATGGAGTGAATGATGGTGAAAGTTTTTCTTTTTGGGCCACCCTGCCTTGGTGGGAATCGGCCAGTGTGATAATAAAAAAAAAAAAAAAAAAAAAAAAAGTTAAGAAAAAATGAATGCTAGGATATCAGGAAGGGGTGTGAAATTAAGAAATTGAATTCGGTACGAAACTGAAGTTTTCAAGAGTTCTTTGCTGATGATGCACTTTTTTGGCAGATTCTGAAGAGAAGTTGCTATGGTTATATAAATTTGAGAGTATGTAAAAGAAAGAAACAAAGTGAATATAGAAAACAGCAAGGTGATGAATCACTAAGTTTATTCATTGGAAGTAGGTCATGTGGAGGAATTGAATGTATTTAGATATTTGGACATAAACCCAGTTGATGAATCCATGAAAGATGAGATGAACCGTAAAATAGACAAAGGGAAAAAGGAGAGTGGTGTGCCGAGGCATCTGTGTCTGAATTCTCTTCAGTGCTTGTATCACACTTTGCTCTATCTGTACGCAAATGGGGCAAGCTCTTCCGCACAACCAATTACAGTTGGTGTCCCACAGGGAAGTGTCCTTGGCCCTCTTCTCTTTCTCCTATACATAAATGACCTACCAAATGCTTCGCAATTACTCAAACCCACACTTTTTACAGATGACACCACATACGTCTTCTCTCACCCGAGCCCAGTCACGCTAGCCAATACTGTAAACACCGAATTACAGAAAATATCTACCTGGATGAGGACTAACAAACTTACACTAAACATTGACAAAACCTACTTCATTCAGTTTGGTAACAGAGCTACAGATGTACCTCTTAACATAACGATAAACAGATCACCTATCACAAAGCTAACAGAGGGAAAATTCTTAGGAATCCACCTCGATAATAGACTCAAATTTCATACACATATACAACAAATTTCTAAGAAAATTTCCAAGACTGTAGGCATACTATCGAAGATACAGTACTATGTTCCACAGTCAGCCCTCCTGGCCTTTATCACTCTCTTATTTACCCCTATCTCACCTATGGAATTTGTGCATGGGGCTCAACAACAACTAACCATCTCAGACCACTAATTACCCAACAAAAGGCTACAATTAGAATGATAACAAATTCTCTCTACAGGCAGCGTAAAACATGAAATACCAAAATAAAATGATAAAATATTCATTACAAAAATGTTTTGTTGATATTCAGTAGTAAAGTTTGACTTACGACCGGTTTCTCGGAACTGAACTCGGTCGTAAGTCGGATGGTAGGTGTGTATATATATTTTTTTTTAACAAGTCGGCTGTCTCCAACTGAGGCAGGGTGACCCAAAAAGAAAGAAAATCCCCAAAAAGAAAATGCTTTCATCATTCAACACTTTCACCTCACTCACACATAATCACTGTTTTTGCAGAGGTACTCAGAACACGACAATTTAGAAGCATATACGTATAAAGATACACAACATATCCCTCCAAACTACTAATATCCCGAACCTCTCCTTTAGTAGGTTGGTAGACAGCAACCACCCAGGGTGGTACTACTGTTCTGCCAAGTGAGTGCAAAACAAAAGCCTGTAATTGTTTTACGTGATGGTAGGATTGCTGGTGTCTTTTGTCTGTCTCATAAATATGCAAGATTACAGGTACATCTTGCTACTTCTACGTACACTTAGGTCACACTACACATACATGTACAAGCATATATATACACACACCCCTCTTGGTTTTCTTCTATTTTCTTTCTTCTTGTTTATTCCCTCTTACCTCCATGGGGAAGTGGAACAGAATTCTTCCCCTGTAAGCCGTGCATATTGTAAGAGGCGACTAAAATGCGGGGAGCAAGGGGCTAGTAACTTCTTCTCATGTATATATTACTATATGTAAAAGGAGAAGCCTTCGTTTTTTATTTTGGGCCACCCCGCCTCGGTGGGATACGGCCGGTGTGTTTAACCCTTTGACTGTTTTCGACGTATAAATACGTCTTACGAGCCAATGTTTCTGACTTATGTATAATCGATAATTCTAGCGGCTTCAAATCAAGCGGGAGAAAGCTGGTAGGCCCACATGTGAGAGAATGGGTCTGTGTGGTCAGTGTGCACCACATAAAAAAAATCCTGCAGCACACATTGCGTAATGAAAAAAAAAAACTTATCGTTTTTTTGGAATAAAACGCCGACTTTGAGGTGCATTTTCGTATAGTATTTATCGTTGTATTCGCGTTCTCATGGTCTTAGGTGATAAAATGGAAAACATATTACAGAAATAGAGATGATTTTCATTACTTTGACGATGAAAACGACCTTGAAACTGACCTCAAAGTAGCGGAAATGTTCGATTTTTACCAATGTTCAGGAGTAAATAAATCACACCACACGTCCAATACATGTCAACTGGGGAGTCTAATATTCTTTCACCAGTGCACTGATATTATTTCTACCATTTTTACAATAATGCAGTAGTCTGCATAACAGTAAATTTTGTATTTTTTTGTATGAATAAAAAATCAAAATAGAAAGCAATAATATAAGAGGGACCTAGAGATATGACTAATGAACAGAGCATATTTTATTTTAGTGCCACGAATGTCTACCTTGTTTATTCTGGACCCTATTTTGAAATTGGCACCTTTTTTAGTTTGCATGAAATTGGCCAAATTGCCAATTTCTGACCACCATATTGGGTAGTCCAAATTAGTAAATGGGAGGTTTCTTGTACTCAGCTGATAGATAAAATGGAGTTCTAAAGAAATAGCTATGAGTTTTATCAAGTGCAACAATGGAATTGGCTGAAAATAGGGCTCAAAGTCGGCGAAATCGCCGATACGCATATGTCACCGAGACCACTAACTTCGCGGGAGCATAATTCCACGAGTTTTCGACCAAATTTCGAACTTTTGGTGTCATTACTATCGGGAAAAGATTCTCTATCATTTCATTAGAAAAAATAATTTTTTTTTTCAAAAACTGAACGACATAGAATGACAGTTTCAGAAAGGGGCGTGAAACAGTCAAAGGGTTAAAGAAAGATAACTAAAAAGAATAAGTAGAAAATTATCAAAGTGGGATGTCTGAATGTGTGTGGATGTTGTGCGAATGATAAGAAAGAGATGATTGTGGATGTTATGAATGAGAAGAAGCTGGATGTCCTGGCTTTAAGTGAAACAAAGCTGAAGGGGGTGGGAGAGTTTCAGTGGAGAGAAATAAAGGAGTAGCGATAATGTTGAAGGATAAGCTATGACAGGAAAAGAGGGAGTATAAATCTATTAATTCAACGATTATGTGGAGTAAATTAAAGGTTGGGTGTGAAAAGTGGGTTATAGTAAACATTTATGCACCTGGAGAAAAAAAAAGTGTAGAGGAGAGAGATTTTGGGAAATGTTGAGTGAATGCGTGGGGAGTTTTAAACCAAGTGTGAGAGTACTTGTGGTTGGGGATTTCAATGCTACAGTGGGCAAAAATGTTGTGGAGGGAGTAGTAGGTAAATTTGGGGTGCCAAGGGCAAATGAAAATGGGGAGCCTTTAATTGAGCTATGTGTAGAAAGAGGTTTGGTAATAAGTAATATATATTTTATGAAAAAGAGGATAAGTAAATATATAAGGTATGATATGGCATGTAATGAAAGTAGTTTGTTAGATTGTATTGGTGGATAAAAGGTTGATGGGTAGGCTCCAGGACGTACATGTTTATAGAGGGGCAACTGATATATCGGATCATTATTTAGTTGTAGCTACAGTTAGAGTAAGAGGTAGATGGGACAAAAGGAAAATGACAACAACAAGTAAGGGAGGAGGAAGTTTGGGTTAGATATAAGCAACTATTAACAGAAAGGTGGGCTAGTGCAAGTATAAGTAGTGGGGGGGGGGGGGGGTTAAAGAGGGTTGGAATGGTTTTAAAAATGTAGTATTAGAATGTGGGGCAGAAGTTTGTGGTTATAGGAGGGTGGGTGCAGGAGGAAAGAGGAGTGATTGGTGGAATGATGAAGTAAAGGGTGTGATAAGAGAAAAAGGTAGCTTATGTGAGGTTTTTACAAAGCAGAAGTGTTATAAGAAGAGTAGAGTATGTGGAGAATAAAAGAAAGGTGAAGAGAGTGGTGAGAGAGTGCAAAAGGAGACCGGACGATAGTGGGAGAGGCACTCTCAAGACGTTTTAATGAAAATAAGAAAAAATTTTTGAGTGGAGTTAAACAAGTTAAGAAAGCCTAGGGAACGAATGGATTTGTCAGTTAAAAACAGTAGGAGAGTTAATAGATGGGGAGATGAGGTATTAGGTAGATACCAGGAATATTTTGAGGAACTTTTAAATGTCGACGAAGAAAGGGAGGCGGTAATTTCGTGCATTGGCCAGAGAGGTATACCATCTTTTAGGTGTGAAGAAGAGAAGGATGCGAGTGTGGGGGAGGTGCGTGAGGCATTACGTAGAATGAAAGGGGGTAAAGCAGTTGGAACTGATGGGATCATGATCGAAATGTTAAAAGCAGGGGGGATAGTGTTAGTGGTTGATGGGTAGGCTCCAGGATGTACATGTTTATAGAGGGGCAACTGATATATCTGATCATTATTTAGTTGTAGCTACAGTTAGAGTAAGAGGTAGATGGGAAAAGAGGAAGGTGGCAACAACAAGTAAGAGGGAGGTAAAAGTGTATAAACTAAGGGAGGAGGAAGTTCGGGTGAGATATAAGCGACTATTGGCAGAAAGGTGGGCTAGTGCAAAGATGAGTAGTGGGGTGGGGGGGGGGTTGAAGAGGGTTGGAATAGTTTTAAAAATGCAGTATTAGAATGTGGGGCAGAAGTTTGTGGTTATAGGAGGGTGGGGGCAGGAGGAAAGAGGAGTGATTGGTGAAATGATGAAGTAAAGGGTGTGATAAAAGAGAAAAGGTAGCTTATGAGAGGTTTTTACAAAGCAGAAGTGTTATAAGAAGAGCAGAGTATATGGAGAGTAAAAGAAAGGTAGAGAGAGTGCAAAAGGAGAGCAGATGATAGTGGGAGAGGCACTGTCAAGAAATTTTAATGAAAACAAGAAAAAATTTTGGAGTGAGTTAAACAAGTTAAGAAAGCCTAGGGAAAGTATGGATTTGTCAGTTAAAAACAGAGTAGGGGAGTTAGTAGATGGGGAGATGGAGGTATTAGGTAGATGGCGAGAATATTTTGAGGAACTTTTAAATGTTAAGGAAGAAAGAGAGGCAGTAATTTCATGCACTGGTCAGGGAGGTATACCATCTTCTAGGAGTGAAGAAGAGCAGAATGTAAGTGTGGGGGAGGTAAGTGAGGCATTACGTAGAATGAAAGGGGTAAAGCAGCTGGAACTGATGGGATCAATGACAGAAATGTTAAAACCAGGGGGGGA